TCCTTTACTCAAAAATCGCCGATAAAACTGTTTCTCCTTTTGATTGCAACACTCAAATCAAAAGCTAATCGAACACTAGCTTTGTGTTGTACTCTCAGACTCGAACTAGAGAAGAGAAGAAGAGGAAGAAGATTGTTACGTTGTTGAACCTCCAATGAGTATTGCTACGAGACCATTTTATAGTGTCTCACACGAATCTAAAAATATCGGTGCAATCAAATGGAGAATCAATCAGACTTAATTTCAAGAATTAAATCTGATATTCATCTGTTACAAAACAGATTAATGGCTGTGACTTAAGAGGAGAGATTAATAGGGTTTGACCAATTTTCTTTTGTATTGGTTACATACAAAAGACAAAAATCTGGGCCAAATAATTAATCATTTTTGGACCTATGATTAACCATAAATCAATCACATTCCACAAAGCCACAAAGCCACAAGGCCCGAGCCCGTATCTCCTCTAACCTCCAAGTGTAACATTTTGATCTTTAATAAAAGCTAAAAACTTTTCAAGTTAGCCACTTCACATCTCCATTTCTCATTCAAACGAACTCCGTTTTTGACATTCCAATACCACATAGTGCTCGCAGCGACGATTTCATCGTGCCCAAGAACCGGTCATTCCGGTGAACGTCTTCACTGGAAAATCCACCGTAACAATGGTCAAAACCATTTTTGTCAAAAACAAGTTCCAACAGTCTTGATGAAGGTCTCATGGGAAGAAGTATGTTTACCGTTGGAGGAAGGAGGATTGGGCATTCGACGGTTACGTGATGTGTCACGTGTTTTTTCTTTGAGTTTGATTTGGAGGCTTCTGACAAGCTCTGGTTCACTTTGGGTCGCATGGACTAAAGAAAACCTGCTCCGACATCACTCCTTTTGGGAGATTAAAAACAGTACAGCGGGATATTTGGATATGGCGGAAGCTATTAAAGTTAAGAAATGAGGCTGATGAATTTTTTAAATGGGAAGTTCAGGATGGAAGGTCCGTAAGTGTCTGGGGGGACAAATGGCTAGAACCAGGCTGACTACATTCAATCAAAGGAGATACAGGGCCGGTCTCCCTTGGTGTGGCTAGACACAGTACAGTAGCAAACGCAGTCCAGGGCACGCAGTGGAGAGTGCGTCGCTGTCGCAGCCAAACATTGCGTAATGTAGTGACCAAGCTACAAGAAATAGCTCCCCCACAGCGCGCAAAGGGGCCTGATAAACCACTTTGGCGATATACTCTCGATGATTATGATTCATCTTTCACGTCACGTCACACTTGGAATCTGTTACGCAAGGCCAAACATAAGGTGTTGTGGCACAATACTGTCTGGTTTCCTCAAAGAGTTCCACGCTACTCGTTCATTGTTTGGTTAGCGGTAAAGGACCAACTCTCCACAGGAACACGCATGCGCGCTTGGGGTGTGGAGCAACCTTGCGTCTTTTGCAGGGAGAGAGACGAGTCCCGAGACCATCTCTTCTTTGCTTGCCCTTTCACCTACTCCATCTGGTCCGAATTGACAAGTCGTCTTCTCCGGCGTAAGCTCAATCCAGACTGGTCACGAACACTGCTTTCCCTCCGGTCTCCACAGCTAACAAAGCGGGACCAGAATCTATTATGTATGATTTTCCAAACCACTCTCTACATGGTATGGAAGAGAGGAATGGCCGGAACCACAATCAAAGTTCTAACACGGCATCTGTTCTATTACAGACCGCATCTCCTCATTGAACCTGCCGCCGACGTCGAAGCTTGGTGACCTGCAACTACGTTGGACGGAATTGAGACGTAGATGACATAGCCACTGATTTTTCGTTATACTCTGTTGTACTCTGTTTCTTAATAGGCTCTGTTTTTAGCTGTACTTTTACTTCTCAACTCTCTGTATAATCTTTTACAAATATAAATGAATTTCATATTTAATCATAAAAAGAAAAACCCGACTTAACTGGTCGGTGGAACTTCCTGAATTTTTACTGTAATTATCGGTTTAATTTGAGAAAATGTCTAAAATTGAATTCCGAACCGTAATTGGTTTCACTTACTTTCGACATAAAATCTAATTTCAAAAAATAACGGACCCGGTAAACCAAATTTGCAAGGCTAGATGGACGTAAGTATTTTTAAAACTATTACTAGAACTGTGTTTATTGGTACAACATGAACAAGTTAAAAAAAAGAAAAAAATGTAGAATAAAATTAATTATTTGAAATTTATTATTAACCTTTTATTGTTTTGAGTCGCAACTTTATAGTAAAACATTTATAAATTAAAATCTTATTTAACCCTTAACAAAAATATATCATCGAAAAGTTACACTAAAAGACAACTTTCTAAACTAAAACTATTAAATAAAAAAAAAATTAAAATTTAAAAAATTCTACAGCTATAGTCAATACAGATACAACAAAAATCTTACAACAATAAATGTACAAGTACAACTCAACCAATCACCTACTCAATTCGACAAAATGTATCGAAACCAAAAAATAACTTTTTTTACGTAAATGAACACAACAAGACTAACACAAGAACGAAAGCAACAAACAAAAATACATTTCCGTCGTACATAATGTATTGTCTCTTCATCAAATTTCTAAAACATGTTTTTAAAATTTTAACACCATTTAAATTATGATCAACCCACAAAACCTTGAACAATAAAAAATAATCGTCAAACATGTTTCAGAAATACCCGACTCAATTGATCGGTTGAACCTCCCGAAATTAACCAAATTTTATTGTAAATTATTGGTTCAATTCGACGAAATGTATAAAACCGAATTCCGAACCATAATTGATTTCATTTACTTTCGACATAAAATTCAGTTTCTAAAATAACGGACCTGATAAACCGATTTTGCAGGTCTATATGGACTTAAGTATTTTAAAACTATTCGTAGAACTGTTTTTATTTGTACAACATGAACCAATTAAAAAGAAAGAAAAAATTGTATAATAAAATTTATTATTATAAGAATCAGTATTAGTTTTTTATAGTTTTGAGTCGCAACTTTATAATCTAACATTTATAAATTGAAATCATATTTAACCCTCAATAAAAATGTATCAATGAGTACTTACACTAAAAGAAAAATTTCTAAAAAAAACTATTAAATAATAATAAAATTTAAATTAAAGACAAATTATACAGTTATAGTCAACACAAATACAACAAAAATCTTACAATAATAAATCTAGAGGTACAACTCAACCAATCACCCACTAAATCCGACAAAATATATAAAACCGAAAATAATAGTTTCTTTTCCGTCAATAAACACACTAGAACTAACACAAGAACGAAAGCAACAAAGAAAAATACATTTCCGCTGTACGTAATGTAGTCGCTCTTTATTCAATGTCTAAAACATGTTTTTAACATTTTAACACCATTGAAATCATGATCAACACACGAAACCTTGAACAATAAAAATAATCGTCAAACATGTTTCAGAAAAACCTGACTCAACTGATCGGTTGAACCTCCCGAAATTAACCGAATTTTATTGCAAATTATCGGTTCAATTCGAAAAAATGTATAAAACCGAATTCCGAATCGTAATTGATTTCATTTACTTTTTTTTGTCATCAATTGATTTCATTTACTTTCGACATAAAATCCAGCTTTCAAAATAACGGACCCGATAAACCGATTTTGCAGGACTAGATGGACTTAAGTATTTTAAAACTATTAGTAGAACTATTTTTAGTGGTACAACATGAACCAGTTAAAAAGAAAGAAAAAAATGTATAAATTTTTTTATTATTTTAAGAATTAGTATTAGTTTTTTTATAGTTTTGAGTCGCAACTTTATAATCTAACATTTACAAAATTGAAATCTTATTTAACTTTTAATAAAAATGCATCAATGAATAGTTACACGAAAAGACAAATTTCTAAACAAAAACTATTAAATAATAATAATGTTTAAATTAAAGAAAATTCTACAGTTAACACAAATACAATAAAAATCTTACAACAATAAATCTACAGGTACAACTCAACCAATCACCCACTCAATTCGACAAAATGTATAAAACCGAAAATAACACTTTTTTACGTCAATGAACACAACATAACTAATACAAAAACGAAAGCAACAAAGAAAAATACATTTCCGCCGTACGTAATGTAATCTCTCTTCATCCAATGTCTAAAATATTGTTTTAATATTTTAACACCACTGAAATCATGATCAACCCACGAAAACTTGAACAATAAAATATAATCGTCAAACATGTTTCAAAAGAAGCGGACTCAACTGATCGGTTGAACTTCCCAAAATTCAACGAATTTTATTGTAAATTATTGGTTCAATTCCACAAAATGTCTAAAACCGAATTCCGAAAGGTAATTGATTTCGGTTACTTTCGACATAAGATCTAGTTTCCTAATAAAGGACCCGATAAACCGAATTTGCAGGGTTATATGGACGTAATTATTTTTAAATCTATTAGTAGAAATTTTTTTCTTGGTACAACATGAACTATTTAAAAAGAAAGAAAAAAATTTATGAAAAGAATAATTATTTTAAGATTTAATATTAATATTTTTATTGTTTAATTTGAGTCGCAAATTTCTAATAAAACATTTATAAATTAAAATCTTATTTAACCTTTAATAAAAATATATCAACGAAAAGTTACACTAGAAGACAACCTTCTAAACTAAAACTATAAAATAATAATAAAATAAAAATAATTATTTTTGTTTACAGCTATAGTCGATAGAGATACATCAAAAATCTTACAATAATAAGTCTACATGTACAGCTCAACCAATCCTCCACTCAATTCGATAAAATGTATAAAACCGAAAATAACATATCTTTGATATGTTAACACCATTGAAATCATGATCAACCCACAGAACATGTTTCAGTAAAATCCGACCCAACTGATCGGTTGAACTCTCTGAAATTAACCGAATTTATATTGTAAATTATCGGTTTAATTTGACAGAATGTCTAAAACCGAATTCAGAACAAGTTATAAAGAAAGAAAAAAATGTATTATTTATTTAAAATTTGGCTTAAAAAGGTATTATTTATTTAAAATAAGGTAAAATTTGGGTTTTTTAAATAGTTATTGAGTAAAAGTTGAGAGATCTAGGGTTTAGAAAAAAAAAAAGAATCGACAAAAAAAAAAAACAAGAAAGAATACGAAGAGAGTATCGTCTCCGATCTAACCAATGTCTGGCGAGAAAAGTTGATGGCCGGTGGATCTCTGGTGGATGAGGACGAAGAGTATGCTGGGAAGTATGGTTATGTGGATCTGTGGGAGACACAGTCCACGACTGTTGACTGTTGAAGAAGGTGGAAAGTGGAGGAAGGCCGTAGATGGAAGAACGGTGGTTGCAGTGTCCTCTCTTGGACAGGACATGAAGGACTCTGAGGTATTATTGACGGGGAGAGTGCATAAGTACCAGGGAAAGTCCAACAAACTAGGGTTTCTTGTCTTGAGAGAGAAGGGGTACTCGGTCAGTGTGTGGCGACTACATAAGAGGAGGACAAAGTAGGTTCCAATTTCAAAAAAAAAATCTGAAAAGTCTGAGTCAGGAATCTTTCGTAGCTGTGTTGGGTATTGTCAGGACCCGAAATCTGCTATCAAAGGAACAACCCAGCAGGTTTTGCTCACATGTCTAGATTGATAGATGTTTGTGATAGTTGTCTGTGATAGATTTTGGTTAGTAATTGTTTAATTTGCAGGTTGAAATTTATGTGAGAAAAGTGTTCTGCATCAGCAAAGCCTTGACACAATTACTACTTGATGTGGACGCTGCTTCTCAAAAAGAAGAAGATGAACAAGGCGCTAGTGTAAGTTATATAATGTTCTTACGGAATTTGTTGTAACTTTCATGGTAGTACTCATAATGGTTCTCTCTGATTATTGCAGGGTGAAAGAAGAACTCCTCATGTTAGTCTAGATACACGTCTGAATAATAGGGTGCTTGATCTCAGAACACCGGCTAATCAAGCGATCTTTAGAGTCAGATCGCACATTGAAAACGTAAGATGGTTTGTCTGTTTTCATTTGACTTGTTATATGCACGTATTTACTAACCTGTCTTCCTCTCCTTCTGTGTAGTTTTTCAGACAGTATCTCCTGGCACTTGAATTCGATTCCATACACACTCCTAAGCTGCTGGCTAGAAAGATTAACGGAGGAGCATCGGTTTTCTGCCTTGATTACATTGGAAAAGATGCATCACTAGCTCAATCGGCTCAGCTCCACAAGCAAATGGCAATTTCCAGCGGATTCACCAAAGTGTTCGACATTGGGACATACTTCCGTTCTGAAAGGTCGTCCACAAACCGTCATCTCACTGAGTTTGTGACTCTTAATGTCGAGATGGAGCTCAAGTACCACTACAATGAGGTAAGGTTTGAGTTGCTGAGATAACAACTTTATTTCACTCCTCATCTTTTGCCTATGTTGCTGATGATATTCCTTGTCGTTTGTTTGGTGCAAGGTTATGGATCTTGTAGACGGGTTGTTCGCTGATATTTTCATGCAAGTGAACCAGAGCTGTGCAAACCAACTTGATGCTATCGCGAAGCAATACCCATTTGAACCTCTGAAGGTAAACCTTGGTGGCACCAAAACCATTTCTTATTGTTGATACTAAACCGGTTCTGATAGTTGGCAATTAACTGTGCAGTTCCTTCCAAACACATTGAGGATTTCCTTTGAGAGAGGGGTACAAATGCATGAGGTGTGTTAACTCTCTGTCTTATTTCTGTTTTCCTTTTACTTCTTCGAATGGACCAACAATTGTTAGCCTTGTTTTGATAGGAATCTGGTGAGAAGATTGAAGCCCATTTTGTAGGTTCAAAATTGAGGGAGACAGACATGAAAAATGATATCACAGTCGAACCCAGGCGAGTGTGAAGTAAAAAAAGCTCACGCCAACGGAAGTGATGATTTTGGTATGCAACGAGGACGTTGTGATATGTTAGTGGGGGTGAATTGTAACATCCCGATTTCAGGAATATGGTGATGCATGCGAAGATGTTTAAAAGAATTACTTATAACAATTTAGTTTTTTCATATTTGTAAGTTGATGAATAACATAAATATCGGATTTTAATATTTATATATCTATTATATTAAAGCAAGTTGTTAAATCTTTGTTATTTTGTGTTATACTTTTTTGTAAAAACAAGGTGATAAAATTGAAGGTTGTATTCCTTTTGGATACTATAAGAATGAAATTCCTAAATACATTGAAGAAGTTTGTTGGTATGTGATAAGTGATTTTGTGCTGAGAGCTCGAGCAGAAAGCAGAATAAACATAAAACATCACTATTGTACCAAGTTTGTTCCAAAAAATGTGATGTATGAATGTATCTAAGATGTTACTCTTCAAAACTACTTTGTCTTTGAAGATTTTGTTCATATTCGGAGTGGATTAGCAACTAAGGAGTTTCATGTTGGTAATATATTTTTTCTAACCTATAAGTTGAAAATATTGATTATACTTTGTT